CCCCTCAACCTCAATAAGACAAAAACCAACTCTTCCCAAAAGGAGTAGAAATATACTTTACTTACCAATTTAGCAACATAGTCACCAGTTATTTGTCAGCTTTTGCACTGTAATGATAAATAGGGTTCATTAACTTTATACTCAAAGCTTTTTATACCGAGGTTAATCCTTTTCATTAATTACAGTCTTGTTTGACTATGTATTTGATCTCCTAACCCACCCCACTTAAACTCAACCTCTTCTCTATTAGTCCACTTCCCATCCTCATTATTCCCTTTTAAATTGTTCAAACCATATTCTCCTTCTCCCTCCTCAATTAGTCCACACTCCCACCACACACACTCTCATCCAATCACCCATTTCTTAATCAATCATTAATCTTACTTCTGTCTAAACCAAAGCCAAAGAAACTCCACAAAAGTTTTAAAAAAGTAAAAAGAAAATAATTACTACTACCATTTTGTTCCAACAACAACAACCAGTCCCTCCAAGAAACCAGAAGATTCCCATAAATATAGCGCTAAAGTTCCATACCCTCATCACCACCAACACTATAGCCACCCTTTTTCTTTTTTCTTATCTCCATTTCCACTATCAACAACCAATCCTTCATTACAACGGAAAATACAACCAAAAAAAATTAAAGGAAAGATCCTTTCGAACCCTAACCCTAAGCTTTTTTCAAGAAAATCCAAGGAAATTTGGTGATTTCCTTTGAAAACAAGATATACCCAAAGTGGGTATTGCTCAAATCTCCAAGATTTGGCAAAAGTGTCATTGTAATGTCCCAAATGAAGCACATTGACAGTATCCCATCAACCCCTGGAAAGTTCAAGATGGAAAAGTCTCCTTACAATAGGCTAAGGGTGCATTTTTCCTTAGCCAAGCTTACATTTTGGTCATTTGTATTCTTGGGTTTGATCTTTGTGTTCTTCTATAGATCACCAGCTTCTTCATCCCCTGTTTCTTCAGATCTCTCTAGAAGATCTCTCAGAACCAGCTCCTACGGTGGTCCAGCTTGGGAAAAAAGGATTAAGGCTTCAGCTAAAGTAAGGTCACGTAATGGTATTTCTGTCTTGGTTACTGGTGCTGCTGGTTTTGTAGGAACTCATGTCTCTGTTGCCCTTAAACGCCGAGGAGATGGCGTTTTGGGTCTGGATAATTTCAATGATTACTATGATCCCTCGCTCAAGAGAGCGCGTCAAGCGCTCTTAGAACGAACGGGTGTGTACATTGTTGAGGGTGACATCAATGATGCCACCCTTTTGAAGAAACTGTTTGATATTGTT